TCAAAAGCTCCACAAGTCACAAAAATTCAGAGTGGACATGCTTTTAAAGTACTTCCTGGAAAAAAATTACAGGTGTTACGATATTCTGGAGCTAAAAGCACCATAAATACTATAAATTATGAATAATAATAAATGCTGTTACGCTGATTTTGATCTTAATCTTTTTTCAAAATTCAGACAGCTCTACCAAACAGCCCTTTTAAGGGCTATATGATGTACAAAACCGATCGTGCAACCTCCCCGCGGTGTACATCGGGTAACGCTAATGTTAACTTTTTACCCATTTTAGAAAGAAGACTTCAGATTCGTTAAAAAAACGACCCCAAAAACCCCTTAGTGGCAAGACTCAAGTGATTCCAATTACTTTTAAAAATTTTAGTCCGCCATATTGGATCCGACATTTTGAATTTTTGAAAAAAGACTTCAGATTCGTTATCAGCGACCCCAAAAACCCCTTAGTGGCAAGTCGCAAGTGATTCCAATTACTTTTAAAAATTTTAGTCCGCCATATTGGATCCGCCATTTTGAATTTTAGAAAAAAGACTTCAGATTCGTTATCAGCGACCCCAAAAACCCCTTAGTGGCAAGTCGCAAGTGATTCCAATTACTTTTAAAAATTTTAGTCCGCCATATTGCATCCGCCATTTTGAATTTTAGAAAAAAGACTTCAGATTCGTTATCAGCGACCCCAAAAACCCCTTAGTGGCAAGTCTCAAGTGATTCCAATTACTTTTAAAAATTTTAGTCCGCCATATTGGATCCGCCATTTTGGATTTGGTAAATTTATTATTTTCACTTATGGAATATATTGTCTATTCTTAAGTGATGAATTTTATGTCGATGCAGAGCTGTTTTCTTCATTATATTCATTTTTATTTATATGTTTGTAACCATCTTTCCTGTTTTTCATTCTTTTATGGGTTATATTTCAGCCGCCATATTGGATTTTTCAAAAGGCCACTCATTTTTCAAAAGTACTTATATATACAAATAATTCCTATATATAATCAATAATTTTGAAAGCTCTCAATTTTGGAGAGATGGGTGGCCCGGTTGGCGCGAAACGTCCCGTATACAAAATTTAAAAAAAAAATTTTTGACCCCTTCTTTTTCAAAATCAACCATTATTTTTCGATTTTCACCCCTTCGGGTATTTTTTATTTATTTTTTTTATTTTTATTGGAAAGCTGAGGTTTTTTCCCATGAGCTATGTAAATATGAAAATGGGACAACAATAATTTTGTGAGAAACAGAATATTAAAGCAGGCGGTGCCTACCTAAATCCTCGAAGATGATCTTTAGGTATACCCGTTATCGGCACCGCCTACATTAATATTCTGTTTCTCACAAAATTATTGTTGTCCCATTTTCATATTTACATAGCTCATGGGAAAAAACCTCAGCTTTCCAATGAAAATAAAATAAAAAAAAAATACCCGAAGGGGTGAAAATTGAAAAATAAGGGTTGATTTTGAAAAAAAAGGGGTCAAAAAATTTTTTTTTTTTAATTTTGTATACATTTTTGAAAAGTACGTGAAAAATGCATTAAAATTCATTCTGGATAAATTAAAATCCATTAACTTTTGTCATAGTTATACGGATTTGAAAATGACAATGTTACCCTTAACGTCAAAATTTCAACCCCCTCTACTTTCTACAAATATTTTTTTAATGAGTTTATATTTTAGGGATTTATTACTATCATATAGGACAACAATTTACCAAAGTATGAAGCCAATCCCAGAACATTGACTTTTTGGGCTGGGACGATTGAAAAAGAATCTCTCATATGAGCAAATGTCCAGCGCAAAAGTTGACTGAATATATGGGCAAATCCACGAAACTTTTAACTTTCAAGAAAAAACATTTCTTTTTCTAATTTGCAGGCACATTGATGTCACTTTGTATACATGTTTAAGTACATTTTAGCACTACAAATTCATATGTGTGATTCATTTTTAGCTCACGCCGTCAATGTTTAACTCTTTAAACTCTTTAATGTTAATAAATTACATATGAAATTGAAAAATTCAACTTTTTTTTTTTTGATATCGGAGTGGTTCATAGAAAGAACTTCCAGTGAGACATTTGTGTATTAGGTTATAATGAAGTTTTCTGTAAAGTTTCAAGTAGATTAATTCAATAGTTTAAAAAATATTGAATTTTTAAGATTGCGCGTGTGGTGCGCCAACGAGTAGGCAAGTGAATAGAATCGCTGAGCAGTTCATTACATGAAAAATGACCACTTTCTCACATCTTTTTTCTCTTAATTTCATTATTAATATATATAAATTGTTTTAAATTGGCTTGATAAATAATATTTTTTTTAGTATTTGTCATGTATATATATATATATATATATTTATTTGTTTATATTTAAAAATACAAGTCAATAATAAAAATTAGAATGTCTTATAAGTATTCAAAATGTAAATATAATTAATACAAAATATTAATAACTGTAAGTAGTCAAAATTTTTAACAATATAGTTAATTAGACATTAGATGTATATCAACAACAAAACAATTACAAACTATTAACAATAACTTGTAAATAGAAAATTTTAAATAGACAATATAAATTCTGAATTCAACTGATAAAATGAAAATTAGAAAATGTACTTAAAAAATTATTTAAAGAATTAGCTAATTGCAAAATTTTACACATAACACATTATTTAAATAATATCTTAATAATTTTTGCAAAAATTTTCATATAATTTTGAAAATATTATTTTATTCGTATGTTTTTAACACATTAACATGAAATAAATTTAACCCAGTAGCAATAAATTCAATTGTTTAACTTAATTTAAAACAATTTATATATAATAATAATGAAATTAAGAGAAAAAAGATGTGAGAACGTGGTCATTTTTCATGTAATGAACTGCTTAGCGATTCTATTCACTTGCCTACTCGTTGGCGCGCCACACGAGCAATCTTAAAAATTCAATACTTTTTAAACAATTGAATTAATCTACTTGAAACTTTACAGAAAACTTCATTATATCCTAATACACAAATGTCTCACTGGAAGTTCTTTCAACTATGAACTTCCCCGCAGACTTTTTGTCGGCGAAAATAACTGAGTATGATTACCGACAGGTATTTGTTTATAATTAAAAATTGGTCAACAATTGAAAAAATTTCAACATTTTCTTAGACTATAGTCATCTATGGACCCAAACGCGGAAGTATGCAAAATCTCATTGGAATTGATTAATAATTGTCGAAGATACGATGATTTATGTTTACAAATTGAATGAAATTTGGAAATAAAAATTTATTAGTTTTTTACATTTATTAATTAAACTATTCATTTGACGAGAAAAATCCAGAGGAAAAAAAGATGCGCCTTTTCATTTCCTACAAGATAGCATTTTTCAAAAATAAAAAATTTCGAATTTTATTTTTTCATCATTTTTGTATGTTTGGCTGGCTTTGTAGCGTGCAGCCTAGCGCTTGGCGAGTTCTTATTTCTAGGTGCTCAATTAGAGGTACATCATTGATAAAGGTCGTAAAATTTTTGTTTTTTTATCACATTTTAAAAAATGCATTGCACTTTTACTTTTAACCAACGCCGTAATAGATATTTTCATAACAAGACGTTCAATTGAATTTTTTTAAAAAGTGCTATCACTCAATCAAACCTTCGTATTTTTAGTTTTAGTTGTGGCACGCTAATGGGATAGTGAAAATTTTTTGACAAAATATGTCTGTTAGATATTTCCATAGTAGCTGAAGTGATATTTTACACGCCGCAAAAATAAAAACGTTAAGAATATAAACTTTTTCAAGAAATTCAAATGAAATTTAAGCATTTTTTTACTTTTTAACTTATAAAACTAATTGTCAAATAAATATTTTGTTCTAATACTGTACATAAATGTTCCTTTGTATATGCGGACATTTTAATATTTAAATAATCTTTTCTGAATCCGTCGATTAAATACTACCAAGTTAACTTTTAAACATTCAATGAATTATGATTTGTCGGGTTAGTAGAAAAACATATCATTTTAGAAAATCATTTTAAAACATACCAACTTGTGAAAGGCGTTTAAAACATACACATTTCGGATGACATTTATAAAACATACCATTTCAACAAAGTTTTTTTTTGATTCGATTTTAAGTTTGTAGTACTAACTAGAAAGAAATAAAATGCATTAAATAATTTAAATATCTCTTTTAAAAAATGCATGTTATTTATTTCTAATTAGTATTACCAACTTAAAATCGAAGCAAAACAAAAACTTTGTTGAAATGGTATGTTTTATAAATGTCATCCGAAATGGTATGTTTTAAACGCCTTTCACAAGTTCATATGTTTTAAAACGATTTTCTGAAATGATATGTTTTTCTACTAACCCGACGATATACAAAAAAATTACTCAAAAAGATTCATTTGTTTCCGAGGAAACTGCCAAAATTCGATTTTGGGAGTGAACTTTTTGTTGTAAGTTATTTTTTTCCTTCTTAAAGAAATTCTCAAAAAGCGCAATTTCGGGCCTTCTAAAGTAGATTACTAATTTTTTCAACTTGATGCAATGAATTTCAAAAAATATATATAAATATTTTTTAAAAAAATTTACATTTTATTTTTACAAAAATCTAAACTTTTTCAAAGTTCTAATAACACAGACAATTTTTCAATTTGAAAAAATATCACTAACATTTGAATACCTATATAATTTTTAAAAATCTGAGATTAAATTTGTAATCAGTGACTTTGAAAACTGCAGGATATCAAGTTTTATAAAAACCCAATAATTTAAAAAAATTTTTTTTCATTATAAATCCAACAATTTCTTGTGAATACGGTGCTCCGTTTTTAATTTGATATTCTTAATTTTGAAAATGCGATTTTAAATTTGTAATCGTCAACCTCGAAAACTATTCAGGGCAGAATATGTTTAGGACATTAATGAACTATTGCTTCAAAAAACCTGAGTTACTACTAGATTTAGTGCTTACGTTTAAAAAAATTGTTTTACCTCTGCAAAAAAGAATTCAATATCGTTTGTCGATCGACATGTTAAATCTAAATATATTCCAATTTTTGTGTAAGTGTTAGTAGCATATGGAAAGTCCATGGTTGCGTTTGATGGAATTACTCTCCCTGTTATTCCAAAATAGCTTAATTTTCTGATGAATTGAATATCATCTAAAATAAATTAATTAATATGTTTGTAATTAATCAGAATAATTTAGTAATTTAGAAAATTTTATTATTTTTATTACAAAACACACAACATTACAATAAGTTTTTAATTTTAATTAATTTACCTCATTCTACACAAGAAAAAATGTAAAAAAATTTAGTGACAGTTCTTTTTAATGACTATAAACTTTTATCCTTATTTATGGATTATTATCCTTATTTATGGATTATTATCATACCCAAGTAAAACAGTGTGCATAAAGTTTTGAAACATTCTGTAAACTGTTTTACATGCGTACACATGTCTTAGGCCGATATAATTTTAAGGCAATTAAGCAAAACATAAATTGTTCTTTAACATTTTAATTTTGCTTTATTGGTGTTAGGAGATATCATTTTTATCTAAAGATTTCACCTATTGCTTCATGAACCGAATAATAATTTATGTTAAATAGGTAGAATCACTTTTAAAGGATCAACTAATGGTACATTTATAATGTTTTCAAATCCAGGTTTCAAAGATGACCTCCTAGGAAATTCTTTCCTTTTATAGTGTCTGTTTTAGTCTGTACTATCCCATTCGCATAGGAAGCATGGGTATTTCGTTAATCCTGATTGGTGACCCAATAATATTGAAATTATTTTAATATCACCGCAAATTTGCCAATCATTCTGGGATTCCAAGATCTTGCAACGTAATCTTCTCCCATGTCGGCGTCAGGTATTCAACCCAAAAATTTCGCCAAAACTGTTTTCCTAATGAAGGAAGACTATACTTGAAATATACAGGTTTAGACTTTATTCATCAGGCTACAGCTGAAACAACTCCGTTGCCCACCGTAAATCTTAAAATTTTTTCAAAATTCTTCCGCCATATTGGATCCGCCATTTTGGATTTTGAAAATCTAACTTCAGATTCGTAATCATCGACACAAAAAACCCCCAGATACCCAATTTAAAAAAAACTATCTGCTTAACGCGCGCGTCCATTTTTCTTATCTTTTGATCGTCTCTTCATTGAGAAAATAACGTATGTTGCGTACGCGAAACGCGTAAAAATGCCATGCATTGCAGTGCATTTTGTGTTTGCATCTCGCTTTATCGTCTCAATTACGAGACAACTTTAAGCTAAGCGATATTGAGGGGAAAGTCCACTTTTGGTGTTTGAAAAAAATCTATTTTTCTTTTTTTGCATAGTTCTAAGCTTGAGGTTATTAGAAATGTGCTCCCTTAAATGAAATTGAGAAATCCTTTTAGTTGATGAGTAATTGAAGCGCCAATATGATCGTGTGTTCGATTCTTCCACCAGCTTCTGAAGTGGGTGGTAGCATTACCATTATTTTCAGTAAATTATTTTATTATTCCATGTTTTTTTTAAAGCGGTCACAAGTTATCAAGTCATAAGTTTCTCCCATCATTTTTTATTCAATTATTTGTGTTTAATCGCGTTTTTCAAAAACTCGTGTTTTCCAATAATTTGCTATGACTTCGACTACAAATTTTTGGTCAATAATTTTTGGTGTTAGTTTGGTTATAAATACTACCTACATTTATAAGCTTAAATAAATAATCAAAAGTCAGTTACTTTTAGAAAGAAGCTTGTTAAAGTAAGATATTTGAAATTTTTTTAAGAAGCCCGTGTCTATATATACAGATTGTAATAACACATAAAATCATATTCAATTTTTTTGATTCAGGCAATTTAAATTAAAAAAGTATTACCAAAAAGTTGGTAGCAGAATTATTGCTTTAATACTCATGTATTAAAATCAGACGAACCCCTCTAGTGTCTCTCATCTACAGCTGCGATTGCGAAACAAAAATACTCTCTATTCTGTCATAACAAGGATACAGCAGTAGTCCTTTTTCAGGCATCTTACTACTAAATTTAAAGGTAAGTGTTTTATACTTTCACCCCTAACTCTTCCCTACACTTCTTGTAAATTTGTAGTAACCTTTGCATTCCTTGTTACAGTGGAATATTGAACTCTAATCCCTTTGGATTGGTTGCTTCAAGATTCTCTCTCTCAAAAGAACAATTTTTATAACTCTAAATGTTTGTCAAAAAATAAAGTGTAACCTAGTCATTTAATACATTTCTCTTTCTTACCTGTACCCTTAGCTCAGAACCTTCTCCTCTGTAAATAAAACAGGAAAATCACTAAATCACCGAAGGGGACATAAATTAAATAAAATATTATTTTTTTTAGTTATTTCTTATTTTGAGACGTAACACCTTCTAGAAAAAATCAATTCAACACGATTCAGAACGATTGAGTACAAAAATTTCTTAATTGTTTTGAATTGTTTCCAATTGGAGAATATATTTTTTTCAATTGATTCGAATTGTTTTCAATCGTGTAAAATAAGTTAGACTTTTTCAATTGTTTTTAATCGGGTGCTATCGGGAGAATGATATACGCACATGCGCAAATGTTAATAATAGGAATAAGAATAGTGTTGAATCAAACAGGAAAGATTTTTTTTCTTGTAAGTGTTTTGTAATATATAGTTTGTTTTGTTAGTGCGTATGTGTCAAATATATAAAATATAAAGTAAAATTTCTTGTGATATGGATAATAATGTCAATATGTTTAATAATAAGAAAGTCAATCGTCCTTAATTGTAAAAACACGATTAAGAATCACAATTGGGGACTATAGAAATTTCTTTCCTATTGTTTTCAATCGATTTTTTCTAGAAAGGTAGTAGTAATTTCTGCACCACCGGGTGCAGAAAGAAGAAAGTACCTATTTTTGCAATAATCACACTAAAATAAGAAGATGACGTAAATGCTATTTAATATAATCCACAGTCAACACTGCCTTCTGGTTGCTGATCAAGAGCAACAAAAATTACTGGCGATTTAAAAGAAATTAATCTATTTAAATATTTTTTTATCCGCTTTTAAACAACCTTTATTCAGACTAGTAGTAATACAGTTTTTTTACTACTCCATCTCTCCTCTACTTCAATTCTCCACCGTACTATATTCCACTAACATTTTATCCAACTAATTCTTATTGCGCAAAAAATTATTTGAAGATATTGTGTAGATTTTAATCAAATAATTTTGCAATTACCATTCCAGATACCATCAATGTGTAAAAAAGGGTTTTTTTTATGCTAAATACAAGTTCTCTAACCATTTTATTAAAAAAAATTTCAAAAGAATAGGTTGTTATGGGGGGATGTGCAACATTTAAGATTCCCGGTATGCATGTCGATATTTGTCAGAAGCGCATACAGTTTTTTTTGCGCTTCACATTCGTGGGTATTTCAGGCATTGTTCTTAATCATTTTATAGGTAAATATATTTGCATAGTTAGTTTGTTAAATTTCTTTGATATTCTGAAACGATTTTGTGATTTATTTACATTGTGTGGGTGTCACGCAATACCGAGCAAAATAGCGTGTTTGGAGGAATGTGCAACACTTTTTTGGGGTGATGTGCAACATTCTCTTTTCGATAATTCTTTGCTATTTTATGATTTAATTTGTTTATAAGAAATAGATAAATAAATAAAAAAAGATTTTCTTTGGTGGAATTTTTAATTGAGAAGCTGGATCATAGAACCGACACTTGGTTTATTCGAAGACATAGGGGAGAGCAAAGACTTCTACTATTCAACTTCTCAATTTTCAGTGGTCAATTACATCATATTAAATTTTTTCACCTGATTTAGATTAATTGTAATTTCAGAAGCCCAAATTTAACATTTAAATCGAACTATGTCGATATTTATTCACTTTTAACCTAAATTTTACCTGTGTCGCACATCACCCCAAAAAATTTTGAAAATGACAAAACGGACGATTTTGAAAGTTCAAAAAAACTTTAGGACAAATCAAAATTCTGAAAATCTAATAATGCAGATTTATAGTATTTCACTTCCTCTAAACAATAAAATCATAACATATTAAAAAAATTGATTTTTAAAGGTGTTTTCCGATCAATGAAAAAAATGTTGCACATCAACCCACAACACCCTACAATATACTGCAAGATTTTGACATTAAAAAAATTTAATAACAAATTCAAGTTTACTTCGCTTGACTGGAAAACTAAAACCGTCCATCTTTGGACAAATGACATCAGTTTCTAAACGCCAATAAAAGTTATTTATAAACACAGTATTGACCAAATCCTTTTAGAATATTATATGATAAATAAATGAGGATATTACGATGTGAATTATGATTAAATATACCTATTGCATTGAGAAATTAATACTAATATGTTTTTTCTTCAATTAAAAATATAATAAATTAATTAATCAATTATATTAATATAATTAAACAAGAAAAACAAATAATTAAACTTTATTAAAAGAATAATATGCATGTTTAAAGTTAGGAAATATAATAAGCCAATAAAAAACAGAACGCCGTTTTTAAACCAATAAGATAGGGGTTACTTTCCATCTTTTATTCTTTCTCTCTCGTCAGCAAATATAATTAAATTAAAATTAAATTAATATTATTCAATATTAATATTTTTTTAATAAATATATTAAAAACAAAATAAGTTTTTCCTGACACCGCCTACTATTTGAATTTCTGCTGTCTATAAATGCAATAAAAAAATATTGTAATAATATACTGCGCCGCGGTAGCTATTTACACTGGATCGCGCCGATATGAAATCTTTGATATTTAATATCTCGAAAACAAAAAAAAATCGGCATTCTAAAAATTTTTATGCAGATCAGAAAAAACCTCAGCTTTCGTTTGCAATTATTTATTTAAAAAAACAAACCGATTTTAGTGAAAATACCAAATTTATGTTTAATTATAGAAAATCAGGGTCAAATTAAAAAAATTTGAAAAACAAAATTCACCATTCGAAAGAGCATGAAAAAACCTTCAAAAAACATACCTGAAAAAATTTTTTTTATTGCATTTATAGACAGCAAAAATTTAAATAGTAGGCGGTGTCAGGGAAAACTGGTAAAATTGACCCTACTCTATGTCCCGCAAAATTTCGAAAAAGTCAAAAAAAT